AACATATTTCAACATACCAAGTGCCTTGGCTGGAATAATTAAATTAACCTAGTTCAACATATCAAGATGACATGACCAGGATAATAAATTGAACCTCAACATGTCCAAGTTGGAATAATTCAACAAAATTAGCTGGAAGAAGTGTATTGAACATAACAAAATGAGGAATAAAATTGAACCTATTTCAATACCAAGTGACTCAGCTGGAATAATTAAATTAACCTAATTCAATATACCAAATTGAACCTTGACGCGTCCATATTAGAATAATTCAACAAAATTAGCTGGAATAAGTGTATTGAACAGAGGAATAAAATTGAATCTATTTCAACATACCAAGTGCCTTGGCAGGAATAATCAAATTAACCTAGTTCAATATACCAAAATGACCCAACCAGGATAATCAAATTGAATCTCAATGCATCATGAAATAACCCTGTTAGAATAATTCAACAAAACTAGCTGGAATAAGTATATTGAATATAACAAAATGAGAAATAAAATTGAACCTATTTAAATATACCAAGTGACTTGGCTGGAATAATCAAACTGAATATACCAAAATGACACGATCAGATAATTTAATTGAACCTCAACGCATTCATGTTGAAATAATTCAAAAATTAGTTAGAATAAGCATATTGAACATAACAAAAATAAGAAATAAAATTGAACCTATTTCAACATACCAAGTAACATGCCTAAAATAATCAAATTATAGCTATTTTTATAAATTCCGGAACAACTGAAAAGATTGCTTATGACCGAATCAATAAGTTACCAAATCAGAATCAATAAGTAACCAACTCAGCTGAACTCATAAACTTATTGACTCAGTCATCGGCAATTTTTTTAGTTATTCCAGAATTTAGTAGAAGTTTATTACTGCAAATTAGAATATATGAAAACATCTGTAAATCCAATTCAACATACCAGGTAAATCGACTGGAATAATTGCCTGACTAAAACTTCAATATGACATAAAATGACCTTGCTGAAATAAATAAAAAATAGTTCAACTGAAATAAGTGTATTGAACTTAACAAAATAATCCAATCAGAGAAATCTATTTCAACATACCAAGTGACGGTTGAAACAATCAAATTAAACATACCAATAGAATAATTACATTAGATACATCAAAGTTATTTTGATACATCGAATTAGAATAGTCAAATTAAACCTAATTCAACATACCAAACTGACCCGGCTGTAATAATCAAAAATTAAACCCAATTTGATATATCAAGTTAATCGGCTGGAATAAATAAAGAATAGTTCAACTAGAATAAGTATATTTAATATAACAAAATGATCCAATTAGAGGAATAAAATTGAACCTATTTCAACATACCAAGTAACTCGGCTGGAATAATCAAATTAACCTAGTTCAACATACCAAGTGAATCAGCTGGAATAATTACATTAAATCCATCTGAACACTTTGGTACATCGAATTAGAATAATCAAATTGAATCTCATAACCTTGCTGGAATAATCCAACATATTAGTTGGAATAAGTGTATCGAAAATAACAAAATGCTCAATTAGAGTAATTAAATTGAACCTATTTCAACATACTAAAATGACCCAGTTAGGATAATCAAAATAAACCTCAATATGACATAAAATGACCCTACTGAAATAAATAAAGAATAGTTCAACATATCAACTAGATAGAATAAATGTATTAAACTAAACATTACAAAATAACCAATTAAGTAATAAAATTGAACCTATTTCAACATACCAAGTGACAGTTGGAACAATCAAATTAAACATACCAATAGAATAATTAAATTAGATTCATCCAAGTTATTTTGGTACATCAAATTAGAATAGTCAAATTAAACCTAATTCAACATATCAAAATGACACTACTGGAGCAATCAATTGAACCTCAATACGTCATAAAATGAGCCTGCTTGAATAAATAAATTAAAATGGAATAAGTATATTAGATTTAATATAACAAATTGACTAAATTAGAATAAGCAAAATTGAGCGTAATTCAGCATACCAATTCAATATATCAGGTAATCGCTAGAATAAGCAAGTTGAACTTTAACAAAATGACTTGATTGAAATAGGTAAATTAAAATATTTCAATATTATGAAATGACCCAGCTAGAATAAGCTAATTTAGTTGGCTGGAACAAGTAAATTGAAATACCAAAATGACCTGGTAAGTAAATTGAATATACTAAGTAGCTTAGCTAAAATAAGTAAGTCGAGCCTAATTCAACATACCAAATAACCTAGTTGAAATAATCAAATCAGCATACCAAGTAACTCAATTTGAATAAATAAATTGAAATTAATTCAGCATGCCAAATAACTTAGTTAGAAATAAATAAATAAATAATATGAATTAAAATAAAAAAAAATAAATAAAGAATAAATAAATAGAATGCCGACTGGAACAAGCTAATTCAATAAGCAAGTCGAACTTAATTCACTTACCAAAATAGCCCAGCTAGAATAATCAAAATCAAAATACTAATCGAATAATTAAGTTGAAGCTAATACAACATACCAAGTGGCCCAGACAGAAATAAATAAATTAACATAATCAACATTAAAAAAAAAATTGATCTGGCAAAAAAAGATCCTGATTATATAACAAGTTGAGCCTAATTCAATATGCCAAAGTAACTCAGCTGAAATAATCCAAATTGAACCTAAATCAATATACTAGTTTAAATAAGTATAATGAATTTAATAGCAGAATGACCTGGTTGAAATAATCAAAATCAAATTAAACATGATTCAACATACCAATATCTATTCATCATAACAAAAATAACTCGGCTGGATGATAAGACTAATGAATGTTTAGTTTATCACATTTTCGTGCTTTATTTAACTACTCCACACAAATGTTTCAAGGTATTGTAACGATTTTAATTAATACTAGTTTTTATACAAGAAGGTTAAAGTAGAAGTTCGATCTTACAGATCGAACCTCCTTATTTATTATTTTTTTTTCATGCATAATTACATCATTAGTCTGCCAAAATAGACTTTTTAAGTTTATTGCAATAAACTTTAAAATTAACAGCCTTATTCCTTATTATGTTGATCTTATTAATTATTCACCCTGTACAATTTTGACATTAAGTACCATGTGGAGCCAATTATATCCTAACACACCTAATTTAAAAAACCAAACGACCCGACCCAGTTGGAATAATCAAATTGAACCTAATTCAAGAAACCAAAATGACCCTACCCAGTTGGAATAATAAAATTGAACCTATTTCAACATACTAAAGTGAATAAGTAATTTGCAGATAAAATAATTAAAATGATTGTTATTGCAATTTCTATTGCCAATCTGGCTAATTCATAATAAATCTAGTTTGTGTTGAGTCAATATAAGCTAGATTTAATAATCGAAATCACAATCATGATCAATTATTATAGGAATTACAAAATTCTGCAAAGCGCAATAAAATTGCAAAACCTTATCCCTTATTATATTGACTTACTATTAATTATCCACCCTGTGGAGTTTCAATTAAGAAACTAGAATAGTTCAATATAACAAATTGACTCAGTTGGAGTAATAACATGGTTGAAATAACCTAACAAATTAAATTAATAATTGATTAATAAAAAAAAATTAAATTTACCAAATAATCTATTAGAATAAGTAAATTTAACCTAATTCAACATACAAAGACTTCTTTACTTTACATACTCAATGACCATCATGTAATTACTATCTTTTGAGTTTTGATTATTTCATATATTGTAATTACCGAATTGCCTCCATGTTTATATTGATTTTAACCTAATAAATATTAATTAGATTAGGTAAGATTACTATACTTTAATCGTAATAAATGTCAAAGTTGAAGTTAAAAACAGTTGAAGCTGAAAATTAGTGATCTCGATTAAAAAAGTTAAAATTTTGGAAATTTCTAAGATTTCCAGCTTCAACCGTGACAATAAATTAGAATTACAACATTCTTGTTTTGTTCTTTTAGAATTATCAAGACTTTTTAAACAAACACTTATTTGCAAACCTCTCTTCCATCATTCTTCTAATACAGTTCTTCAATATATCATCAATCCATACCACCTTAAAAAAACAGTGCCAAAGCCTCCTTTAGCAAAATACTTTATATTTGTAAATTTGCTAAAGAGTATCTATTCAATAACGTCCATAAGTTTGCTATACTATTGTGTTTGTTAAATTATTAATTAATGCCAACAACCTGCCAAATAACGATAAGCAAGTTAAACCTAATTTAATACTAGTGCAACCCTACTAAATAAGCATACTGAGTAACCCACTATAATAAGAATTTGAAATCTAATTCAACATACCAGAGCGTATCCAAGCAGACCAAAGCAGCCTACTAAGATAAAAAAAATTAAACATACCAAGTAACCCAAATATATAATTTGACTCAATTCAAAAATGAACGATAAAAGTAATCAAATTGGATATAATTCAACATACCAAACCTAACTCAGCTGGAATAATCAAAATTTAAATTGGCTAGAATAAATAAAGAATAGTTTAACTAGAATAAGTGTATTGAACTTAACAAAATAACCTAATTAAAGTAATAAAATTGAACCTATTTCAACATACCAAGTAACTTGAACGGAATAATCAAATTCGACATACTAAGTGAATTGTTTAGAATAATGCTCGGCTAATATAATCAAAATGCCAAAGTGACCTAGTTGGAATAAGCAAGTTGATCTAGCATACCAAAAACGATCTACTGAAACAAGCAAGTTGGATCTGCTAAATAAGAACATTGGTACTAATTTAACGTACCAAAAGAACTGATTAGAATAATCGCTAGAATAAGTAGCTGCTAGCTAGAATTGAAACTATTTAAGACTGAAATAACCCGGTTAGAATAAATAAATTGAACTACTTCAACATACCAGAGTAAACTAATTAAAATAAGTAGCTAAAAATAATAAATAAATTGAACTACTTCAATATACCAGAGTAAACCGATTAAAATAAGTAGCTAAACATACGACCTAAATATAACTTCAAATATGGGTGAGAATCTAGCTATAACTTACTAAAATAGAAATTTTTGCATTTAAAAAAAAAAATCCAGATTTACCGGATTTGATCCTAATCTAGGGATTAGGGTTCAATCCTGGATCAAACTGGATTTTTAAACCCAGATCGGAACACTAAGTGTAGGGATTTATTGAATCATCAAACCTGGTCAAAGAAAACAATTTGTAAGTATAGGAATTTGTTGAATCATCTAACCTGGTCAAAGAAAACAATTTGTAAGCATAGGAATTTGTTGAATCATCTAATCTAGTCAAAGAAAACAATTTATAAGTGTAGGAATTTGTTGAATCATCTAACCTGGTCAAAGAAAACAATTCAAGCAAAGGAATTTGTTGAATCATCTAACTCAGTCAAAGAAAACAATTTGTAAGCATAGGAATTTGTTGAATTATCTAACCCGGTCAAAGAAACCAATTTGTAAGTATAGGAATTTGTTGAATCATCTAACCCGGTCAAAGAAAACAATTTATAAGCATAGGAATTTGTTGAATCATCTAACCCAGTCAAAGAAAACAATTCAAGCAAAGGAATTTGTTGAATCATCTAACCCGGTCAAAGAAAACAATTTGTAAGCATAGGAATTTGTTGAATAATCTAAACCGGTTAAAGAAAACAATTTAAGCAAAGTTGTAAATTAATTATACAAACTTAATCTTATAATTATCTATGATTATTAAAAACTATAAACACATTATTATCATAATATAATATTATTATTACTGCATACATTACGATGCATTAAAGTTGTAGATCCAATAATTTTAATCATTTTAGGCTTGTTAAAATTATCGTAAATCCCTTAAAAAAAATTATAGGGTTTCTGTAAAGTGTATGTTTTATTGTAAGTTTACAATGTAGATCCAAAGCAATGATTAATAATACAGTCAAAATTTTTTTATTTATAAATAGAAAATTTATAAGCAAAGATTTTACTCTATTTGTGAATAGAGCTCTATTGGCTCTATTTAATATGATCTACAAATGGAGCAATGAAGTTAATAAAATCGATGGAAAATATACTCTATTGCTCTATTCCAATTACTAATGAATAAAGTAATGAAATGCCAATCCTGAATGTATTGTAATCAGTGTTTAAAATTCAAAATTGATTTTATATGTTCTCAAAAAAACATTTTTTAAAATTTTAATGTTCTCAAAAATTTTTTAATGTTCTTAGTATTAGAAAATTAAAAATTTTTTAATATTAAAAAATTTTGTTAAATGTTCTCAAATAGAAAACATTTTCTAGTAATTCATATTCATAAAAATTGTTAAATGTTCTCTAAGAACACTGAGAATATCAAATTTTAAACACTGATTGTAATACAAAACAATCTAAAACAGTACAGAAAATAAGGCAGTAAGTTTGCTACTTAATTGTGTTATAAAAGATTAAAATTTTATATATAATCTGAAGTATATAAAAATCTCTACTAAGCTACAAAATCAGATTGACAGGGTGTAGGATTGATTTTCTGGTCACGTGCTTTCTGACCCTTTACTCTGTTATATCAGAATAGTATTGAAATGCAGGTATGCAATTTATGTTACTCAATAACAAATTGTATTATAATAAACAAAAAAAAGCTTTTATTTGATAATATGCAAATATACTACAATGCTAATATATTTAATACAAATGTTTAAGACAAAAAAAGCATCTATGGCTTTGACCCTTGCCAAGTAGAAACATGCCATCGCCTGTTTTGAGCTACTTTAATATCATTAATAATTGTAAAAGCACGGCCTAAATTATTAACAACTGTTTCTACATGTTGTAAATTATTAAGCTTCAATTCTATATTTAAATGCTCAACTAATTGGTTTAATAAAGCAATTTTAGATTCTATTTCTTGATGCCAGTTTATACTGTGAATATCTTTATTGCAAGAATTTTCAACAGAAGTTGGATCATATAGTATTAAATTAAGAACATTTTCAATTATATTTTTAGCTCCACTTCCATCTCAAATTAAAAATGGATATTCAGTTTGTCATTTAAAGTTAGAATAAACTAACTGAATATCTTGTAATTCTGTTTTCTTTATATTTTCTAATGCCATTTGGATCAGATACTTGCAAATTAAAAACGGCTATTAAGAAAATAATAGCAACTACACACCCAGCATTTTAAATTGACGAAATAACGGTTGGTAATGTCTTCATTAATAGGCAACTAACCAGTTACGTATATCACATTATATTTTTAGATATTAGCCAATCAAATTCAAGAAATCATTCCGAATTATCCTGAATAGATGGAATATCTCAGAATTATATTAATTGAATGATTAGTTGGTTAGTTGATTAAAAAAATTTCTAACCGGTTAGTTGGAAAGTTGTCAACTATTCAGTTTTTCAACTAACAATTTGGAACACTAATTGTTAATTTGCCCCACAATTGAAATGGTTGATTCTTTTGCAATTCGAATCTTTGTATTCTTGCTCAAGCTTAGTACTTTGTGAACATGCAAAATATGCATTACCGATACCTTCATGATGGGATGAAATATTTGGTGCAGTAGTTGCTCTACAATTGCAAATATGTATCAGAATTTAGAAAAGTTTAAGAAAAAATTTAGTTTAAGGCAAGCATGTTTTGCATTTGGGCTACCGCCAATAAAAATCAGACAGATTAACATTTAGAAAAATTAATACCTTAACTATTACAGCTCATATTTTGATGAATTCCGATTCATCAAAATATGAGCTGTAATAGTAAGATATTAATTTTTCTAAATGTTAATCTGCCTGATTTCTATTGATGGCAGCCCACTTAAAATTTACTTACGTCCATTTGAATTCGTCCCCTTCCTCAATTTCATCAACAATCAGTTTGGACATTACTCTAACATCTGTGCCGATGGTGTTAAGGGTAGCTTAACACAAAAAGTAGAAGAAAGTGTAGTATCATATTCTAATCTACCAATTTCATCTGAAATGTGATCACTAATTTCATTAATCAAAATTATTTCAATGGGGGTTTCTTCACTGATAGCTTTTTTAGAATTTTTTTTCCAGCTCTACTAGTTATACAGCTAGCACACGTCTTATTTAATTTGTTCTCATATATGAATGCTTCAGGGGGAAGCTTTCGATAGCAAGAGCTGCAGGTATTCATTAGACGGTGATTGCAAAGCAAAAGTTTTGAATAATTTTTTTTTTGAAGTTTACTCAAGAATTTAAAGATAAGTTTTTTAAAAGTCTTGGTTAAATTATTTACTTTGAGCTTATTATTATTACATTATATTTGCGTAATTGATTATTGACAAGAAGTATAAAGTGCGTCATTTAGTAAATAATGCACTTTATATTTCTTGTCAATGATCAATTACGCAAATGAACGGTAATTTATAAATAATGAAGCAATAATTATTTAATTTATTCGATTAATTATTAATAAACTTTGAGAAGTATCTTGAATTATCTATTTAAATATTGTTAATTTATTTGATAACTTATTTGATTCAACTATCATGATTAGGATTATAAAATTACTGCAATTTTATGTAATTATTCATATAATTTTGTAATTTAACTATCTAAATACAATTTGTGAACGAACCATATATCGTGCAAATAATATAATCATAAGGGAATCAATAAAATCATAAAGTTCGCAATACATGATTTATTTAATTTGGAATTATCATTTTTGGCAACTTCGATTCAAAAAGTTTTTCATCATTCAAGCGATGAAATATGCTTGGGATCACATAAGTTTAGATACTCGAATTCAGTTCATTTAACATTGAATCGCGAATTATTTGATTTTGGTTTGTAAAAAAAACTTTGATGAAAATTTGGTTAATTGGCCGATTGGTCGTGTGGACGTCGGAGCTATGCGATCTAGATCGGAACGTCATGTGACCGGAAAATCGATCCTACGCCCTGGCGTTGTTCGATCTTGCCTCTCACAACGTACGTACGGACAACCTAAAAACGGCGAGTCGGTCGCTAATCGATTCGAGACCTTGTGTAACCTACGTTGGGCTTAGTCGAAAGGAGGCGTTTAGATTTGGACGAGGGTGATTTTGGACGTAGGTACGTTTCTTTTACTTATGTTGAGACTTTGATATTGTACTAATGCCTTTTAGTTTACTTCTACACAATGACCACGGCTTGAGTTCTTCAACAATAACTCAAACCGGAACCACAGAATCCACAGTCCGTCGGGAAACTGGAAAGACAACAACCACAACTATCTCAGCCCGTCGAGACAGTTGGACAATAACAACCACGGAAGTCCTCAGTACTTCGAGAATCAACCGGACAGAGTTTCGGTACAATTTACGTTCGTCACGTGAACAAGGGACAACGATTGCACTACTTATGCCACCTAAGTAGTCAATCACGGATATATAGGGTATAGGAATATTAGGAGACGAATTTTATGTGAATCACTAGGGATGTCTTGCCTCAAGGGCGAGAAGCCTTTATTATATACTTTCTTTTAATTAGGACACATTATACATGGTTTGAGCGATATATTGTTTATACTGTTTATACTGGTTATACTGACTATACTGGTTACATCCATGATTCCCTTTATCACCATTAAACAACCGATACACTGTATACAGCGAATACAGTGTATACAGCCGGGGTAACTCTATTTTTAGTAAGAGATCGAATATTTGTGGAACCGTTTCTGTGCCACTTCGATTGACAGTTTCCACGTGCTTCCGGGATTACCATTCTGCGGCTCACAATATATACGAATTGGTGAAATTCAAAGTGGTAGTTGTGATTTTTCACCCAATGTACAGCTGCTATGGTCCGCTGCTGTAAGTAAAAATGATATGAATACATTTAGAGAGTATATAGAACGTATTCGTGAGATACGATCTCGTCTAGTCCAATTAAAAGACCTTATTTCTCTAGAAACAAACCCAAAAAAAAAGAAAAATTTCTATGTAGATCGCTAGATCAGGTGTAACCTTTGCGTAACGTGAAATCGAAGGCTTTTTCAAAAAATCTAATTAAAAAATTCCTTGTTAAATTTTACTATATAGTTTGCCTTATCACAGCTCTAACCCTAACGCTAATGCCAGTCTAATTTCACGCGTTATTGGCGAAAATAACAACAAATAAATATTTATTATCCGGCATTCGACTATGATCGGGCTTGCCAAATAACTCAGGTTATTTGGCAGCTCACATAAGAGAAAAAAGCTTATTTTAGTTATTCGGCAATTCACATATGAGAAAAAAAAGCTTATTTTAGTTATTCGGAAGTTCACATATGAGAAAAAAGGTTTATTTTAGTCATTCGGCAGCGTTACCATTATTTACACAAAAAAATTAAGTTCTCGGCATGTTATAAAGCCATTGTATTAAGATTTTTTAAAAAATTAATATTAGACCGGAAAAGGCATCTTATAAGACAGAGTTTTTGGAAATTCTCAATCGGTAAAAATATTTTGTAGAGTGAATTTTTTTAAAAAGTTCTTGAATGTATTTTGTATAATAGATTTTTTTCAAATTCGTAGTAGGCTAAGCAAAAATATTTCATAGAGGATTTTTTAAAATTCTCAATAAGTTGTACAAAAATATTTTGCTGATAGGATAAAGTATTTGCAAGACAAGTTTTTTTTTGAAATTCTTACTGCGCCAAGGCCTTTTTAAAATTCTTATTTCTATAAAACATTTAGAAGAAATGACTTAATTTAAAATGTTAATTGTAAGTCAATTTATTTTCTAACATATATTGCAAGTGCACATTATTTAATTGATAGTAACGCTTTCGGCATTAATATAATAATTTTTTATCACCGTATTACCATCATTATTAATTGAACCTTGTTCTTTAGAATTACGCCTATTTGGAGCTTTATAAATAACTTGCTGATTACTGTTCATAGATACATTTTGCATAACATTTCGTAAAGGTTGCTGGAATGGTTTCATAACTGAAGGATTAAGATTAATGGATTTGAAAAGTTACATCGTGGCAGATTCTTTTTTACTTTCTAATAAAAACTAACTTAAATAAATAAGTAAATAAATAAATAAATAAATAGATATATATATATATACCTTTAATTCATTTGAATAAGTTTCTTGATCATCTAAAACTTCTGAATTATTTGAAGAATCCAAATTGCTTGAAGCATCGGAATTTTTTGAAGGTAAAGTTCTCACATTATTTATCAATAATGATAGAGCTTCTTCTTTTTGTTGTTGAGATGGTCATGCATAAATTCTATATGATGACTCACTCTTGTGTCCAGTTATTGACATAGTCGTAACTGTTGAAACGCCTTTTTGAAATAGGAAAGTGATTGGCATAGATCTTCCAGAGTGGTTGACGATATCTCGACCTTCCAAATTAATGTCAGCTGTAGTACAAATATTTTTTATAAGAGATCGACATGTCTTTTCACCTAACCTAGAATCAAGATACCATTCATCTTTTGAAAGATCTTAATTGTAATAAAGTAATATAAATATTAGAGTAATATTAATAATAAAAAATCACTTGAAAAAATTTTACCTTTTATATGTTTGTTAATTTGTAAATAAAAAAATGAGCAATTCGAATTTTTTGGTCTTTTAGAAAAGTAATGTTTAAAATCATGAATGGGTCCACAGTAATTTTCAGGATCAGGAGGAATAGGAATTACAAGAGCATCAGAACAACCATCTACTCCTCCCTGATCATTTTTTTGTTGATTTTTCACAAATTGCATCCCTCCATTAGAGATAAAAGTAAATTGAGTTATGGAAATTTGTAATGTTTACCTCCTTGAGGTTGAAAAAGAAGACAGCTCTACATAAAAATTCGATAAAGTAATCCTTCAGGATTATCAGCAGATAGTGCAGAATGTTGAAAGATTTGCTTTAATTCATCATCCGTTAGGTGATTGTGGTGTTTTGATACAATTCCTTGCTTTTTCAATTGTTTTAATTTGCCATTTAATGCTTCCCATAATCGAGGAAACTCTTTTCGATTATTGATATTAAACTTATTAACAGACCCGGGATGCTTGAAAATATAAACACTTAGCAGCCTTATACAGTTAGTAAGTGATGATGGTGAATAATCTAACTGGGTACGGATTTGTTTAATCCCTAAAATAAATTCAACCATCTCACGTTCAAGTTGCTGCTTATCATTGACAGTTTCAATTCCGTAATTATATCCTACTTCGGATCTCCAGTTTTCTAATATTTTAACTCACTTAGCCGTAGCTTTGCGGGTATTTTCTGGTATCGTACTAGCAATGATTTCATTGATTTCATCTTCAGTAGGTTTATGATATTTATTTGCCATTTTTTTTTAATATTAAATCGAAATTGTAAAGAAGAAATCGAAAAAGAAATCGAAAAGGAATTGAAAAAGGAATTGAAAAAGAAAATGGAATCGAAGGTAAATAAAAGTTAATCACGTTATAATCAAGATGTTTATATAAAAATTAAACTTTATTGTTTACTACATAATTACATTATTACGTATACTTTATTATTTGATTTTACATTAATTCGAGTTATAAGGTACCCGATCGTCGTCGAATGCCAGATAATACCGTTATTAGATACTACGCACCAATAACTATCGTATCTGAGCCAGAATTTAATCAGTTGATGGCTGGGCCCCTGCGGGGCCCAGCCATCAACTGATCAAATTCTGGCTCAGATACTTTTCATTATTTGTTGGTGTGACAATAATATCATAATCACACAGATCATGATATAATTATACCACCTTCCAAATAACTCCAGTTATTAGATACTTCGCATCCAATAACTATATATTATTCTTACTTCGGTTAATACACCAAACTTGTCTCAAGTATTAACTTCTGCGGCCGCTATTGATATAACACCTTCAGCTATTTGTAAACTATTATCATTTTGAAGTTCAGCAGGTTGACTTTCGATCTCATTTTTATTTTCTATTTCAACTTTGTCATCATCTGAAATAGTTACAAAGTCATGAACTCAAGTATTTAACACCATTCCAAGAATGTCTCTAACTAACGCAATGGCTTGTTTATAAGCATGATGAATAATCTCCTTAATATTGTTATCTAAAGGCCAATTCCGCAAAACATCCAGGTTTTCTACAACACTTGAATCTAAATAATGTGAATTATAATCTAAAAAATAAAAGTTTTTTTTTTAAAAAAAAAAAACTTTATAATCATGTTTTATGATTTATAAGGATACTAACCAACACCGGTTGTTTTTTCTCTGTCTAGCTTGAGAGAGCCCGAGAAATATGCTTTATACAAGCATACAATCTTTGGCATTAATGCAACTAAATCATTAAATGAGAAGTCAGGAAGAAACTGGTGAGCTAAGCCAAAGAAGTGTTCACATCTTTCTGAACCAAACATCCATGGAGTAAAGGGATATTGGGAGTAGAAATCTCGGTAGGCGATTGTTAAAAGAATCTAAATATAGAAAGTTATACAATAATCATGATATGATAATAATTTATAAAAAAAATTATATTTTAGTATGATACTATAGACTCAGAAAGACTTGTTAAAATATTAAATATCACTGGTGTTAAAAAATTCTTTTTAATACTCATAAATTCGGGGTAATCTTGCACACAACTTTGAACATGGCTTTTCCAATGATTTAGAAAAAAAAAACCTAACATAACCATTCTACATCTTTCAAGTGGCGAAATTTTACGATTTTGAAAAGCGTTGATTAATTTACCTATAATAAAATTACTTTTCAGTTAATTTAAAAAACAATTAATAAGTTAATTTAAAATTTATTTTAGCTAACCAAGAACAAATAAAAAATGAATAGCCCATATCTTTTAGTATCAACTTGGTTGTCCTTATCAATAACTTGACTAAAAAGTGAGGAACAAAAAAGTTGATAAGCAGCTCCATCATCCTGACGATCAATGTTTTCAACATCTTTCTTATATAAAACGCTTTCTAGGTTCTTTCTTAATTCTAGAATTTGATCATATCTTGCTGAATATTTTCCAAGTAATAATAAGCGAGCACTAGAAAAAAGTGCATTGTGACAATCTTTTTTTCCATGTGAGGGATTAGTGATTCGAATGATAGGACCAATATTAGGATAAATAGGACAGCTAAAATTAATATCTAAAAATAAAAGATAAAGCTTAATTAGATTAATTAGATTAACTTTATATAAAAATATTTAATTTACTATAAAGCCTATCTTTAAAAATTAATCTTTCCGGTGTATCTATTTGCATAAGCTGGTTTTGAACATTGAACTCGGCTGAGGCTCCATCAGCACTAAATCCAAGGATTTTTAGTTGGAGTTGAGCTGCCATATCAAGTAATTTTTTGTGAAGCTGAAAAATATTTATTGTCATTTTCTTTCCTTGGTTTGCAATCATTGCAATTATACGCGGTGGAAATTTTGGAAGGGGAATCTATAATAATTAATAAGTATATAATAATTGGATTTGTTTTTTTTGTGACAGATTAAAATAAAATCAGATTAAAATGAAATATATAGTATAAAAAAATTAGTAAGCAACCAAAAAAATAAAAATTTTTGGGTACATTTTTTAGAGTTAGGGGTTAAGGTTAGAAAACCATATTTCATTTTAATCTGATTTCATGACAATAATTACTGTATTTATACATTTACCTATAATAAGCAAACACGGACTTGGGAAGCAATAGTATTATGAGATTTGATAATATCTACGATTTGGTATACATCTTCATATATAGAAACCTTCGTTGATTCTGTTGAAAGTACTGAACCAACAATACAACTAAAAATAGAAGAATATCCAAGTCTTTTCTTAATTTTAGTATTGTCGGACACTGCAATAATTGGACTAGCATATTCGATTGTGTCTACAAGTCTTTTAACTCGTGCTATATTTTCAAAACATAGCTCAGAATCATGAAGAGCATAAGGTGAGCATGCATGATGTAATCTTAAAAAAAAAATTATATTTATATATAAAATAAAAATATTAATAAACAGAAACAAATATAGTACCTAATATTTTGAATAGCATGTCTAGCTAAATTTTGCCGGAAAACATTATATGCTTGTGGACTAAGGCTTGCAAGTATAACTATAAAATCAGAGAACTGATCTGAATACTTAAGATTTTGAAGCCCCTTATTACATTGTTCTTGATCTTCGATTTGAACCATTATATTACATAAGCCTTTAAACACTTTTCTATTACTAAAACTACTGTTTTTGACCATTTCTGCAAATTTTATCCAAAAAGAGTTTTCATTGTTCATATTGTTATTATTCGCTAAATATAAAAGATCGCCAACTTCTTGATTGTAAATATATTTAGCAATTGGATTGCTTCGAAGCTAAATCTTCGGTATAAATTTTTTTTTGGAATTTGGTATGTCTTGTTTCGATACAGCATTCTATATATATATATAGTTTTATGTTATAAATTATTACTAAAGTTTAATTATTAAAATTCATACACTTACTTTAAAAACTTGATCATCTTGAACTTCTTTACAATAATCACATATTCAGGAGGAACTAGTAGTGTATTGCTTACATAAAACAGATCGTACTACTAAACCTTCAATTTTCCACTTCGATTGACAAATTATCTCACTATCCAATAATTGTAATTCATTTTCAGAAAGTTGTTTATATTTTATAGCTTTGTTTGACGAAAATTTTTCAAGAAAAAGTTCTTGAGCAATAACCTCTCTTCTAGGTGCACTACCATGAGTAGTATGAGTAAACACTTGGTTAATATAAGCTTTGTAAATTGGTCTATCTAATTCAATACAAGTATATCATTTTGTAATAGGTTGATTATCTTTGGAAGTTGGTGAAAAAAAGTGTAAAATTGAAAAAACACAGTTTTGAAGCTTGCAACTATTATCATCTATATGATTTTTAAAATAAGCTTCATCATAAGCTCATTTAAGTTTAATAACTTTTCCACATTTACAAGTTGCTTGTAGACCACAGTCAGATATATGAACTATCATAGGATTTTTTAATAAGCATTCTCTTGTATACTTCACCATTTTTGAAATTTTAGAAACATGTACTACACGTAGATACTATTTTACTATCTAATTTAACCAAAATTCCAAATGTAACTTTGTACAAGTTTTAATATATTTATCCATTTTGTATAATATTACATTAATAGTTATTATCCAGTTTTAAATGTAATCTTTAAAGCAATAACCGGTTTTCAAATGTAACATCATTGCAAAAAAGTAATGTTTTTAACCAAAATTTTAATATAACCTATATATGTATTGTTCGGAGTCCTGCTATGGGATTCGACAATCGATTTCAAAAGTACTCGTGAGGTGCCAGTTAAGACCACAGGTAATGAAAAACTATGATTTACAGTAGTTTTAGGTTATACAGTGGCTGGAGAAAAACTTCTACCAACAGGGAACCGTTAAAGCCAGATGCTATCATGTGACTTGCCGATATCGTCCGGCCTAATTTACAACTATCCAGAGACACCTTCACTATATAAAAAACAGTTAATTAAAAAATCATTTATTTCGAAACCTATTGGACCCGCAAATTTTATTTTTATTAAAGGTTCTGCTAATACTAATTTGCTTTAAAAATCCTTTGTTTGCATGTCCTTACGATAATATAATCAATATTTTCGATACACTAAAAAAACATTGTCTCATAACCTATTTCACAATAATTTTCAATCATAACAAAGTCTTTATCACCTACCTAACTATTATTAATTCTATTATATTACAGTGCATAACATGCTGTTGCAAAACCACTTTTTCAACTACTTCGGCATTCTTAAATTTATAATACACAAAATTTCTTAATACTCCAATAATGTTACTAGCGAATTTCTTATAAGATTCAAATGCTTCATTATATTCAAATACTTTATTATTTCTTTCAACGTTTACCAATGATCAACACAATACACTCCACTAATATGACCCATTTCATATAATATTTAAAAGCTTCTTATAATTCTATTTGACTCCAATTCTATGATGACTTCAATTCTACGATGATAACAAATATCTGCAGCTCTTTATAATATTCGAAGCACTCTTTTTTTATTTTTTATTGTTTTAAAACAGGGCCTAGACAAACTTTCAGTTTTTGAATAAATTCGACCTTTTTCTTTTCATTACCATTTTCCTCAATGCTCCAGTACTGGTTGTATGTTTTCTCCATTAATTCATTAACGGTAAGTCTTCTGTTTTCTGCCGCTTTATAATTTTCATCTTTTTCAAATGATTCTATACTTACTAACTCACGATGCTCATAAATTTCAAATCCACTCTCAAAAAACATTTATTGAAATTGCCTCTAAGCATCAATAGTCAGCAATTTCTGGGGCCATACTTTTGTTCATGAAAGATATGCTTACATGGGAGCATATATTTTTGAAAAAAAGACAATGGCACTCAAGTGATATCAAGCCAAGTAATTCCTTCTTTTTTTCTACTCTACTATCAGCAGCAAAAATTTCACCAACTATCAATTTTTGAACTGGAAAAAGAAACTTATGAATTTCTTTAAAGATATCATCGCCAATGCCGGAGACAGAGATTTTTTTAACACGAAATTCGAACACAACATAATCTAAGTTCGAATGCCTTTTCATGTCAAGTGTAACAACCTTATTATACACACTGATTAACCCATATTAAGAGGAGGTTGTTCTCTTTAACTCACTGTAGTACGATTCTAAAGCATTCGTCGATGTTACTTGCAAAAGTAATAGAGAATGTTGGCGAGCCCAAAGCGCCCACTAGTGTGTATTGTTTAAATAATTTCTTGCTTTGTATTTTTTAATAAAGAGGAGAGTACATTCATTAATTAATTTTTGAACAAACAATTCACAGCCGATTTTTGTTCGCTTATGCATGACTTGAATCATTTTATTTCGAGTTTCTGATTTATAGATTTTACTTATCCAAGTCCATATAACATGTATAGTATATAAGAGAATTTTATATTCTTGTTCGTCTTGTTGAAGACTCGGAAAAGCTATTATAATACTTTTGGCTTCTATATTACTTTGGTCTAATAAAAAGTACTGAGGTTTCTAAAGGCTACAAAATTATTGTATTATCATCAATGCCTCTATGATAGTATCGCTATCTTCATTACTAATGAAAAAATGGCTACCAACGTCCCAGCAACCATTTTTATCCCAAATATATAGCATAAACAAATGCTTTTCATATTTGTTTGTTTTATATGTGGAATCCATCAGGGTTAACCACCCATACCTCTGGAGTTTTTCAAGCTATTTAGGATTTGCGAAAACAAGACCACAGGTAGATTGATGAGTTCTATATAACTCAATTTGATATTCTTCATTTTTTAAAAAAGAAGTTGCATCTCAGATATCTTGTGCTAGGTTAGAAGTACCAATAAGATAAGCATTTTGAGGACCACGAACTTTGTACTTTATATTTGCAACCTCCCTTCATTTTAACTCTTTTATACTCATGCTAAGATTCAGCTTTTCACTTGTATACTCTTTAACTGTATTAACTATTGTGAGTGCGGGATAATTCTTAACTGCTTCTTTTTCTACCAAGGTCCGAACTGCCTAGGAATGTCTTCTTTGTGTATGCTTAATTCGAAAGGTTTTTTAAAGCAGCATACAAAAGTTTTTCAATAATTTCTGTTAACATAATTTTTATGACTAAATTTTACCCATACGTTTGTGACCAAAGGCCACTATTTAGTATCAAATTCATTCATCGCCACTTCGAACAATTGCTGAACATTAAAAAGTAATGTATATCTTTGGTTGGGCGTAAGTCTTATAGCTGAATTTATTAAAATATCTGTTGAAGTTTGTTTAAGAAAAAGTAGTGAAGCCCCAGATGTTTGGTTTTGTGTGAAGTTTAAGTTTGATCTAGAAAATATTTGTTGTGGAAGGTTCACATTTTCTTTGCCAGAAGTGCTTATTTTTTTTTTAATTTTTTTTTTTTTTTTCTATAGCAAAGTTTTCGCCAGCAGTGTTTTTGTCAAGTACTTATTGCTAACAAATTTTTTTTCATTTTCAATTATTAATTTTTGTAGTACTTGAAATATTTGCAAGAAGTCGAAGCCGTGCTTTGCCATTATTGCTTTCTTAAACCATAATCACAAAAAGTAAAGTTTTGCTGATATACCTGTATAACTATAAAATTTACACCTTTTAACATTATAAAATTTATTGAATTTGATTGGTCGTCATATTATATATAATCGCTCTGATTTCCAAATGTCAGGCCAATTGATCACCTGATCACGTGATGGCACCTGGCTTTAATGGTTTCCCACTAACAGTAATCTTTAAATTGAAAAAAAAACCAAAAGGCAGATTCCCGCGAGATATTGTAGTGGCAGTGGCACTTGCTGCAAATATGACTAGAGTATTAATGATTTCCACATACATTCCACAAGTCATCAGAGCTAGGCCAAATAGGTTTTTTAAAAGCAAAGATATTATTTTTGTTGATGCATACCGTAGCCATAATCGTGATTATGTAATTAAAGCATTGAATTTAGAAAGCCTGGATGTATTAGAAATCCCCGGTGGAACCACTAGTGTTTTGCAGCCACCAGACGTTTCTGTGAATAAGCCCTTTAAAAACAGAATAAGAAAAAGGTGGGAAGAATGGATAGATAAAGGAAAAAAAAGTTATATTAAAAAGGAGAACCAAAAAAAAGCATCATATAAACTTGTTTGTAAATGGGTATTCGAGACATAGAGGGAAATTAGCCCAAATATTTTAGTCAAATCTTTTGAAGCAACTGGACTAACACTTAACCCGACAGCAGTAAAAATAATAAAATGTCACACCGCCTTCAAACTATTGTTGAAAATTGCCTGAATAAATTACCTATCAAAAATGTGCATTCAGAAAAGCCAAATTATAATAATAATGAGCCAAATGATGATGAATTGGATGATGGTGAGCCAGATAATAATGAGTTGGATGATTGTGAGCCAGATAGTGAGTTGGACAATGATGAGTTGGATAATGAGATTGATGATGAACTGGAAAACTTTGAGTCAGATTATTATGATAAAAATATTATTAATGTAGACAGCTATAAAGAAATGCAAAATAATGAAGTAATAGAAATTGATTAATGATAGTGATTAATAATAAACAAAATGAATCTTTAGAGTGAAATTCACACTTACATTTGTTTTCTGTTTGAATACTTTAAAAATAATTTTAATGGTTTTTTGAAACTTATAATATTGTTAGCCACTTTTCTAGATTTTACAAACCTAATAATTTGTCGAGGTAAGGCAATTAATTGTTTTTTTTTTCGCGATTGATTTTTTAACTAATAGAGTAACTACTTTGCTTATAGATGTTTCCATAATAGCCTATTATAATATTAGTTTAAACCCAGTTATCATATTTAATATGTTACAAAATAATGAGATTACATAGAGTATAGGGTATATTAGATTAGTAAATAACTTAGTCTTATTGTGCTATAATATTGATATAAATAATCATTTCGCTATAATGATTGTGATTCCATAAGCTATTTATAGTAACTATCTTTTTTTTTTAATTATAAAATTCTTATAATAAATTTAATTAACAATACTGTAATTACTTGATTTAGTTAGCTGATAGTATGAACCGAATGTTAAAAAATTTATTAATTGTTGCGATTATGCTAAAGCATTACGCAGGTCTTTAGATTATTGATATACAAAAATATAAGTATAATGAAAAAATGCGAAAACCATTGCAAACTTTGGTAAATTAATTTGAACAATGCTATGTAGAAACAGGCATGTTATTACTTCTAAATTTAATGTTCTAATAAATATAACTTTAATTTATTTACTTGGAGCTTTTAAACTAATTTAGTAGTAGAAATACTTTGGAGTTAAATATAATAAAAAAAAATACTTGGAACATAAGCATCGTAGAATTGAAGTCAAGTCAGATATTGATTAATTTTTTAAATAGAAGTGTTAGTGGAATTGAGGTTGAAAAAAAATAAAAATATACGGTAAAGTATTCATTATTCAAATTTGTGAAAGAATACTAGCAGAACTAATATAATAATATTAAATTTCTATTATTGATAATTCTAAGCGGAAAGAATAATGTAATATTAGTAAAATTGGGATCAAAAAAGGATGAATGTTAGGTAAGGCATCAACAGTTGATCAGCTTAAAAGAAAATATTATTGAAATGGAGTTAAAAAGGTATTCTAAATAGGAAATTCTAGTTGAATCAGAGTTAAGAAAGATAAAATAAGTTATTTATTAATTTGTGAAATGTGAAACTAAAATCGAAACGATGTGTATTATTCTATTTAAATGAAAAATTATCGAATTAAAGTTTAATATTAATGTAAAGTTTTTATTATTATAATCTGACAAACCAAAAAATTGTAGAATCAGAATAAAAATAATGTTAATGTTTTTAATACTAATTATTTTATGAATTTTAAAGTCCAAAATTGGAATATTTGATAGTTACCTTATATAAGTACGCATTATTTCGGGATGTGCATGGGCATTATTTTGAGACTATATTTGCTATTTTTAGAGGATACAATTTTCGAATTAATGCTCATGAGTGTTATTCCGCGAAAATACAGTACTAGTATAATGTATTTTTGTGTGCTGAACAAGTTTACTTAAAAAATAAAGTTAGAATCAATTAGTAAAAATTTGATAATCATAGCATTTTTAGTATTTTTATTAATAAAATTATATAAAATAATATGATTCTCAAAATTTTACTAATTGATTATAACTTTATACTTTAATAAACCTTGTTCAGTATACAAAAATACATTATTTTAGCATATTTAATTTTATATTTTTTGAAAATTTAAGAGAAGATGCTTAATTTTAGAGTTTTGATCAAAAAATCTAAAATTAAGCATTTTCTTTTGAATTTTGAAAAATCATAGGAATTTAAAAAAAAGTAGTTTATTCTTGAGTATAATTCTTTTAAAATATAGATAATTTGCTAAAAATAAAATATAACATATATGAGGTGTGGCAACTTAGTATAGTGGTCTAGTCGTCACCCTCTCCAAGTGGCAGGTCTAGAGTTCAAATCCCATGGACGACGAATTTTGAAAAATAG